ACCTTGTGGCACTTAGTGCACCAGGTCTCTGTATTCGGCCCTTCAAAAAGTGTGGATGGCCCTGCACGAAACCTTCACCACTATAATCAAATTTCATGTGCTGCTGTCTGTTTCCTAGGAACCGATCTGCTTGACCCTCAGAGAATGTGTGTGTGTGTGTGTGAGATATATATATCTATATATATAGAGAGAGATATATATAGAGAGAGATATATATAGAGAGAGAGATATATAGAGAGAGATTGTAGATTTTAAAATTCTTTACAAAACTGGATTGCAACAGAATCCCGCCATCAGATACTCGCCACACTCGTATCAAGACCAATTCGTTAGAAAACAATTTCTCTTATTAAAATTCAAGTAATTAAAAAGCAAAAAAATGTTGAAATTGAATAACAATTATTGATATGGCTAGATCAGTTTTAACGCAGTTTTTCTCGCGGATCGATTCTTTCTGCTGACCAATTTCCTTTCAAAACGAATTCTATTTCTGTCAATATGCCCGCTGCCTTTTCATTTCTATAACATTGCAGATTCTATTAAAAGAGAAACATGTTTAACTCTCACACTAATCACGGAGAGTTTACGTCACACTTGATCAACTCTTCTGTCATAATGTTTAGTTTAGGATAACTTACCTACATTTGTTCTTTTCTCACTGGAAAAAACTTATGCGTTTGTGTGAGTTTCCCTCTTAAACTGTTCACACATATATATATATATATATATATATATATATATATATATATATATATATATATATATATATAAAACCTTAAGATTCATTTCGGTTATAGTTTATTTTGTGAATATCTATATATTCATCTCTTCAAACCGAAATCTTTTAGTGAATGGCGACAATTCCCCCAGACGATGACTGTAACGAGATGTTTAGCATGTCGATTCGTTAACGTTGTAAATTTGAATTTAAATATGTGCCCTACTATTGGATCTGTGGATTGCTCCTCTTGGTCGCCAAGGAATTTTTAACATCTCTATGGCGGCACAAAAGCAGTATATCAGAAAAGGGGGAAAGTTTAATCCTCCTGTCATTCGCTTTTAATCATTCTTTTCTCGTTTTCATTTATTGACCTTGTGCCTCCACCCCCAGTAAAAGTCTTGCTGAACTGAACACATTAGAATATCATTTTCAGAGTTGACTCGATTGCACACAGGCATATCTTAAAATTCTACCAAGCCAAATGATAGAGAAATCTCACCTAAATGTCTGGCATCGGACATTTTCTCACGAAGCACCACGCAAACTAGGGCATCTGTTTATAAACCTTCATTCACCTTTTTGTATTATTTGATTTATTTTTTGTTGTCATATATATAATGTGTGTGTGTGTGGTATTGCTTTTATATCGCCATGTTTTGCAAATTTTCAGGTTTATTTCTGAACCTCACTTTGGACTTAAAACGTCTTTAATTATAGGATTAATTTGATCTTTCTTACGCTTACCTTCTATGCAAAATGTGATTCATAGAATTATCAATTCTAGTGACAAAGTATAGACTGACTCTAAAAGCTCCTTCAGTGTTTGGAAATAAAGCCAAATGATTGATGCTCTCATTGCAACCGGCAAAAGTATCAAGTTTTCAAAACTCTATAAATCCTGTAGTTGTCCTATCACTTGATATATGCAATTTGAGCTTCCAGAATGCATTTCTAAGCCATTTAACCGCAATGAGTTCTGGATTCATTTTAATCTATTGAGCAAAGAGAAATCGAGTGATATACGCCCGGGATCACCTACAAAATATAAGTTTATGAAAACATGCTCCAGCCTCATTGTTTTTTGTTTTTTTTTAACCAAAAGTCATAATTTTTGTAATCCTCATTTCGCCATTACCGATTATGAATTCTTGGTAAGCACACTTCGAGAATGCAGAGAACATATTCTTCGAGCTCGACCACATTTGAAGATGATTTATCTACTTTTGTACATGACGAGTCAAGGCTTCGAAGCAGCTTAAAAACTAGAGGAATTACCTGGAAATTGTTTCACACACCTACCCCGACAGTCATCTGTTTAAGCTCTTGAAGTAGGAACTCAAAGACTGCAATGAGGTAGAATTGAACATTCGAATATGGCTACAAAAACAGCTGAGAAACATTTATGATGCAGATATACATTCCCTCATTCAAATATCGTATTGGTGAATGGAGCGGATTCTATTTTGTAACTCTGATACTTTTGCATACATTTTGGCATGCTCCCGGTGCCAATGTAGTGATGAGGGGTGGGGACTATACAGATGAAGTAGGTATTTTGGGACAAGAATGATCTTGAACCGAAAATTAACATCCTCTACCAAGTATCTCAAAGAACAGGACTCAAGATGGATAGAAACCATAACTTTCAATTAAATCAGTGAGGTCACGTACCTGAAATGAATAATATTTCAGAATGTGAAATTACCAAATACTAGACACTCCAAATAACTCGGGGGTATCGCACAGTTTTTGTATTTTATCATTTTGCTGCAAGGCGGGAATGCCACTATTACACGGGGGGGGGGTTAAAGAGAATGAAATTGAGAGAAAAGACTGGATATAGAAGGGTCGGTGTCAGAAAAGGATAAATGAAGATGACAGATGGCGATTGACATGGCATTTAGATTTTAGTTTTTAGGGAAGCAAGACACCAAGTCTTTCTTGAGGAAAAAAAAAACTGCGTACTTTAGCTTATGAAAGGGATGAGCCATGTTTTACAATGCTAGCTTTTGGTTGAATATAAAAAAAACAAAAAAAAAACTATTTCGTGTATTTATTTAACACGCGATAGCTATAAATTTCAGTTATTTAATCGCCTAAAGAAAAGCCGAAATATTTTTCGTCAAGTGTATCAATAACATTGAACTCGGTATATTTTGAATTAGGTCTCATAACTCTTCTTTTACAATTAACGGATACACTCTTACAAACATAAGATATGCAGATGACACAGTGTTGATAGGATACAGGAAACTAACAAGAAAGGAAAGAATTAAAACATCAATCGTAAAAAGACAATATATGGCTTTCAGCCATGCGAATCGAGCAAGTACAAAAATTGAAATATCAAAGGTCGTGTTTTAACAAGACGGAAAACGAAACACCGAAATCCGAAGGTTCGTTGGAATAGTGGTTTTCCAAAAGCTAAGCAAAGTATTAAGGAAAAATAAAAAGTAAAATATCGTTAGAACACAAAGAAAAGTGTGTCGAACTGTTATTTAGTATCGTTCCTTCTTTATGGTTAGGAATGGTGGACGATCTCCTCGACACAAATATAGTTCTACAGAAGGATGTTGAGGATACTATAGACTGAACACGTTAGTAAGGACGATGTTTCAGGGAAAAATGAAACAAAGATGCTTACACTTCAGTTTAGAGAGACAGAATTTTTCAGAGCACATGAGGAAAGAGGGCCTGGAGAATATGACACTCACAGGATCTATTGAAGGACAGAAGAAAACAGCGAATAAGCTTTTTAATGAGCTTGTGCTTGGCAAAATAGTCATTAGGAAGTACAGTAAAATAAACCTTACTAAGATCTACAAAGTATAAGTTGTGGAAAACCATAATCGCCTATATTTAACTTGTTGCACTTTACAATAATTTTTTTTTCTTTTTAATAATTTCACTCCAAGTAAGACAAACCTAGTAAGATACCAGGGGTGAGAGAGGACAATAAAAGAAGCCGGAAGAGAGTTCCACAAGCGAGAAGTGCTACAGAAGAGGCTGTTAGCATCGAATTTACAGGTACCATAGAGTAAAGTTCATCAGAACAATTACCATTAATGTATTCTAGAAAAGATACTGTCTGTGGGGAAAGTGACTGAAGCCGAGATGCCAGGACCACTAACAATGCAAATTTTTCTTTGTATTTTATCAAAAATCTCTAAATATATAGCAGGAACACCAGACCATATGTGGTAGCAATATTCAAAGCAAGGGCAAATAGTAGACTTTATAAATATGTAAAACAGTTTCAACTATAATGTCGAAGATAATTTTAGGAAATGCTTGATTGTATTATTTTATTTATTTTTTTTTTATATATTTTCGTGTACTTTTACTAAAAAGATTTGCTTGACTATAGCATTATATTCACTCAGTTTAAATACTTGACTGTTGACTGTATGCTTTTTTCGGTCGTTTTTATGTTTAATCTTTTAAGTTGCAATTGTTAATCAACATGATAATTTTCAACCAGGAATTGTTATATCGTAACTTTACATATTTGTTCTCTCTAGGTAAAAAGTCTGATTTAGATACAGCCTCTTCTGTTATCTTTCAATTGGTTTACTTGACACTCGGCAAAACTCGCCATATTGTACTTTAAAATTTAGCAGGAAGCGTAGTAACTCTGTATTTAAATATTCTTGTTAATTATCAGTTAACGGTAATTCTAGCCGTATTTTACGAATATTAACAAGACATAATTTTCTCAAATTATTTTTCTCTCGAATAGTACAAGTTTAATTATTATAAAATTAACATGCTACAAGTTTCAGTTGTTTTTTTTTTTCCTAATAAATGCAGCTTCGTTTTTGTTTTATATAACTGCTTGAAGTAAGTTTCCAATATTGAAGTTTGTTTTGTTTTTTTTGTTTTGTTTTTTAACAATTTTATTTTTTCACAATTTTCTTTTCCAAATTTTATTACAAGTTTGTCCATGCTGTCTAATATTTTAATGTGGGAGTTAAAATAATCTGCATAATGTTGCGGTTAAGATATTAAACATTTCTGGCGTTTTACTTGTGAAGTTTTATATATTAAATTATTCGTTTTCTACGGCTTATCAGCCCTTTGTAGCTTATTTAAAGCCAGGAAATACTTTTGTATTGTAAGAAATTTTTTTTAAAGATACTAATAATTTAGTAATACAAGTTTTATTAATCAACCAATTGATGGAGAAAAATATTTGGTATTTGTGTCCAAGTGAATATTACGAACCCAAATAGAATTGGAACTCAGCTCTCCAATTAACAATTTCGAATCATTATCCATTAGACGGTCACACATTTCAGTACTGACCAGGCTCGGCGTTGCTTAACTTCGGTGATCGTACGAGAACATGTTTCAACGTGATATGGCCGTAAAGTTATTAAAATAACAATTCTTTCATTAGAAGAGTTGTTGTGTGTGTGTGTGTGTGTATATATATATATATATATATATATATATATATATATATATATATATATATATATATATATATATATATATATATATATATCTGTGATCATTTACGTCTAGAAGGGACGTTTAACCGTTTCCTTATAAGGAAACATTTGGCATTCATTGACCGAGCAGCCAGTACTGGTTTTGATTGGAACTGATAAAATCTTTTCCTTTCCAATATTGATGGAGGTTTCCTTCCTAACCGTTATTTGAAGTAGTGTGGAATGTCAGATTTTTTGATTGTCATTATCTTGTCTTCGAGATAGATGTGCTATCCATTTTAGTTGGTGGTAGTCCACAAGTAATGCGATTTGTTATTTGGTACAGTTCTTTTGTTTGTGAACTAGCACTGTCACAATATTCAGAGAATAATGGCCTTTGCCAAAACCTCAAAGGTTTCACTTGCTCAAAGCCATTGGCTCTTTAAAATAATATATCCCTTTTTATATATGTGGATTAATTTTGCTCTATCATAACGATCTGTGTGAACATTCTTTGACTGCTAAAAATACTTATAATGGCTTCAGACGACAGGAATGTGTATGAGTTTAAGTAACACTAAAAGGTGCATTAAAATAATCGGGGTTTAAATAAAGTATTAACAAATAGAAATTCAATACAAACATAATTTTCCTATGTACTATTAATCTTCCTATGTGACGGTGATGCTACACAGATGAAGACTTTAAACGACAGATGAAGAGGAGATTTTAAGCGACAGATATGGATATGGTTCTACAGGAGAATGCTGAGAATTCCATGAACGGATCAGTAATTTCCATGAAAATTGGAATGAAAGACATTTAGACTAAAAAAAAAAAAAGGCTATTTTACTTGTAGTTTTCTCAAGTTTATGGTCGCATTTTGTCACAACATCAGGACTAGAGATCGATAAACTCTTCGGACATTAGAGGAAACTGCACCAGCTCGGAAATAATTTTAAATAGCTTTCGACGTTATTTGAACTAGCACCTCCACCCTCATTTCATTTCTTTATTTCATGCAATACTATGAGAAAAGTACGGTCCCCCCCCCCATCACCACCACACACTATTGACACACGTCACGTGTGTAAGAGATAAGAATTCGTTGTTTATTTGTTTAACTCCTACTGTAGATTAGTGGCGGGCGGGACCAAAGGTAACACTTTAACCATTGAAGGAGTCGTTAAACTGGATGACGGCTGAATCAGCACGTGACTAATTTCGACACCGTGATATTTGATTTGCACATCTTGTTCTTTTTCCATTCCATTCTCTTAAATAGGGTTTTCAGATTAGCTGCATAACGAAAAGCGGCTGTGTCGCCGTTGCCTTCTGAATAGGAATCGCATTGTATGAATCGTAAACGGCGACCACACATTCCGACAAGATTAAAATACAGCGACGAATGAAGGTGTTATTGTATTATCAACGATAACCTCTAAATGCTACCGGATAAATAACATGATATTGAAGCACTTCACAGGCAAACAAATATTAAAGAATTTTTACAAGTTTTTGCAATTATGTTGTCTTGCCACATTTTTTGCTGTACTTACCGGCTTTTCCCAACAGCCATTCGTTCAATACATCTTTTTTACAATCCTTTGCGTTGTGACCGTACAATTTGGTTTTATTCTTAAGGAGACGATTGGGTTCAGAAGGGTTTGCGATTTGTTAGTCGATCATTTCCACTTTAAGTGTCGTCCTGTTTATGACGATAAACTACATCCGTGTCTTGGGTAAGACGATAAACTACATCCAAAAGCAAGATCAGGTTTGAAGAGTGTGGAACCACCTCTTAATTGCTGGTTTTTTCCCAGGTCCACCCCGACCTGGCGTGGTAGCGCATGTTAGGGGGCACAGCTATGAGCAAATAATTATTACCAGCCACACATTTTTGAAAAAAAAATATATTACCAGCAATAAAAATCTTGTCGGCATTAAATAAACCAAAGAGGTTGATATGCCGTAAAAAAAAAAAAAAAAAAAAAAAGCAACACTTTAAGCGTTTAAGTCCAGTTTAAGCAAACTAGGCTGTAAAGCAGCTCAGGAAGAATACGTGTTGTAGATTTTAGCTTTGATTTCGTAGGGAATAGATAATAGAAGCATTTTTTCTCAAAAGCTGCTCATCAAGAGCTTTTTCTGTGTTACACTAATTGAACCTTTATTCGAAGATTAAAGCTTGTGGCCACTATAGAAAAATTCAGTTACTCGTTGAATTGTTTTTTTTCAACGATGGTTATGTTGACAGGGGCCTTATCTTTTATTAGTGACCATGCACTTTGTTTAGATATAATCAGACCTACTTCCTGCTGTGCATTGTTTGGTAAATGTGTTGATTAATTTCTTGCAATTGTTGGATAGTCATTCAAAGTAGTGATATCATCAGCATATCGTTGGTTTGGAAGAAAATGCTCACCAATTGAGAAGGCTGATTTGCCAGCAGATTCTGTTTTCTCTATAACTGAAGACGTTACAAGACAGAAGAGAAGTGCATATCGAATATCCCCTTATTTCATTCCGTTTAAAATGTTCATCAGTATTCAGGCATGTCCTATTTATGACTGTTTCCTCTTTGAACTTCCACAAGTAAGGTATTTTGGAGCTGTCAAAAGATGCTGTAAAGTCAGTAAAAAAACATACAAGTGGGCTTATTGGGTTCCAAGGAGTTTTCAATAATGTCCTTTTCGTCTATGCGCTGCTCTGCTAGATCCCCCCCCCATTTCTAGTTTGATATTCCACCGGTGATTCTGGAAGTGGCATGCACATCGTATTTGAATTGAGTTGCAATGATGCGGATGACTAACTTATATATGTGACTCCGTAAACTGAATTATGTAATCATTACAATCCAAATGATTTAGTCGTGGATATGACGATAAACTACATCCGGCAGCAAACCTGTGATGAGGAAATTGGAGGTTTTGAGAAGCGTGGGATCGCATCTTAATTCCTGTTGTTCCCAGATCCGCCCAAACCCGAGGTGGTAGTACCTATTAGGATCCCAGCTATGGGCAAATAGTGACCCCGCGAAGCATAAACGAAACACAATAAAAGTATAAAAATATATTTTTATATAAAAGAATTACCAAAAATACATTTTATCTGTAGTTGAAGGCATACAATTGCTTTCAAAATATTTAAATTTCCGCATTAAATAACTTATAGAGGTTGATATGCTGCTAAACAAAACCAACCAACGAAATGACTTTCTTGAGGTACCATGCCAATGATTAGAAAGCAGTTGAATAGGAGTCGCAGATCATCCAATAAAGGTCGACTTCCAGCTTTGAGGTACTCTGCGTAGATAGTTTAATTGCCTGCACTTTCCCATTTTGTTACCTTACTTTTTTAGAACTGATTATATCTGGTCTTCATGATAGACATTCTCCTAAAATTCATCCCGTCTCTCCAAGATTTCTTTCTTGCTGGTCAAGATGTTACCATTTTTGTCCTTTATCCCCCTCCAACTTTTTGATTGCATCAAAGTATAGCTGATGTAGTGTAATGAATATTTGTTTGGAATGAGAAAACGAAGAGCCGTGTTCGAATTCGAGTCGGGTTCGTTACATTCATTCGTTTTGAGAAAAATATGTATCCATCTCTTCTGTCCCGGACATGGTTCTATAGCCTTGGTTGGCAATCAGACTACCGCAGAAAAGAGACGGCAACCAACTGCGGGAAAATCGTCTGCCTAGTCGTCACGAATCGAGAAAGGCATCATCGCCCAAGCGTGTTATGGCACTTAATTGACTGAAAGTATAGTTTATTTGGTGGGAGATTATTCAAGGAGTATAGTACTTTCTCGGTGCTATAAAGTTTTAATTTTTAACCAGTTAAATTGTTTGTCTCAGCTTTTCCAAGCTTGTTGAGACTGTAGGATGTGTCACGCGTCCTCCAGGTTTCGTAACTCTTTTCAATAGAAAGTTTGGTTTTCGTTGTCATCCAGAAGGCGTGGAATGGTTATTTTAGTGGAATATGATTTTCTGTTAAGCTTATCACTTGGTAAAGTATTTATGTATTCGTCTCTCCGCGTTCACTCCCAAGCAAGGCAGTATAGCTACTGTTATAAAACAGAAAAATTACTAAGGAATGAAAACAAGTGAGTAATCAAGAGGACAGTAGATAGCGATTAACATTTAACATTGAGCTCACCGGATTTCCTCATCCTTGGGATTATCCTTACATATTACCAAGATTTTCATTTTTATATAATGTGTGTGTGTAGAGAGATAGAGGAGGCTTGGATTAAGGAATCGTAGAGCCAAGTTCGAATTCCAGTCGAATCCATTACATTCACTTACGTGCTAATACCCCTGGGAAAGGTATGGATCCTCTTCTTCTCCCTCCAGCTATGGGTAAATAGCAGGACAGACTGGGTTCTATAGCCTTGGATGACAACTGGTCTAGGAGAAGGACAACTCTGAATTTAAAACCTGCGGAGGGTCGTTTGGGGACCTTGTGGCACGTAGTGCACCAGGTCTCTGTATTCGGCCAATTAAAAAAGTGTGGACGATTCTGCACAAAACCTTCATCGCTATAACCAAATATGTGCTGCTGCCGCTTAACCCTTATACGCCGAATGCGACGGCAGTCGAATATATATAATGTATACGTGTATGTTTATTTGAATGGATTGTTCATTTATTAATCCAATGTATTTTAATTTCTGATTAAACGTTGTTGCTAATGGATACACACATTTGAGTGGATGTTCTGTTTTCATTCATGTATTAAATAGTATATTTATTTCCCTCCACCAGCCAGAATATTCGAGACGTCTCATTAGAAAAAGAGGGTGCCATTTGTTTTTTGTTTTTTTTTAATATTCAGGCCGATGTTTTTTCCTAATGTGAAGTATGTTAAATTTGACTGTGTTGGGCTGTCTATTTAATCTTTTTTTTTTTTTTTTCCAAATATCGCGTCTTGACAAT